AGAGAATGCTGGCGTCCACATAATGGTTGGAACATGTCCAAGGAACAAAAAGTGAACAGGACAAGCTGATGAAGGCTCCTTACTTCATCAGGACGACCACCAGAGGGGGCTGCGCAAGCGCAAAAGAGGCTGATGTAATAGACAAGATGTGGCAATCTTTGATGCATATGTATTAGTCAATGATGTAATCTGTGTTGAATATGTATTAGCTACGAAATTCTTAGTGTATAAATTGCGAGCGCGATGTGACGGGGTTGAAGCCAGATTTGGGCGCATGCCCCTGGTTTCCCAGCGCTGCAATAAAGCACCTCATATAACCATTCCAGTGGTTATGTGTCAGTTCTTACGCTAACAATGTGGCACCTAATTAGGATGAGGTACATGAGATTTGGTCAACAGGTAAACAACGATTCTGCATAACAGGAAAATTCAGAGGAGCAAAATTACTTGCTCACTGAGTAGGCAGCTCAGTTGGTACTTCTCTTTGTACACCTCAAAGGCAAATGGCAAGGAAGGGTATTGTCTGTTCATTTTCTGATGCTTTATTGCTGCTTTTACAGAAAAGGGCAGTGCTCTAAAACCCACTAAACAGGTTTCAGCAAGTAAATAAACAACCTCCACAAGAGGAACAATGAAGTACCCTAGGACTGTGGTTTTGAGTAGTCCTAGTGACCATCAGACAGACAAACCATGACTTCTACAGTGTCTATCTCTGTGACTGCTTTAAAGAAGCTGTGGAAAAGAAGACTGTCCTTTGTTATACTCAGAATGAATCCCAGTTATTTTCACAAACAGATCCACAACAGGACTGTGCACAGGATCTGAGGAACTTGCCTGGCTGCACATCACCAGTGCTGCTCTTTCCTTTTTAAAGATAATAAGCAGAAGGGTTTTTTAAAAACTACCTTTCTTTAAAAACTACCTTTCACAGGGAAGGTCAAGAGCCTTCCCCACAAAAACTACTGCTTTACTGGACTTTGAAAATATTTCCATAAAACAAGTGTTTCTAAGAAGATGAAAGACACTGCTAAAACCTATTGAGTTAAGGAGTCAGGAGAGGCCTTCTTGCTCTGGGTTAGTTTAGAAAGCAGCCACACTGTGATGCTGCAGGAGAAATATTTAAGAGGGTGGTATCCAAAGTATTTCTATTCTTTAAATCAGATTAAAAGGAAGCATGGAAATGAGAAGGGAGAAAGAAACCCTGTTACAGGTAGGGGCATGGCTTCATTCCAGCAGCATAAGCAGATCAGAAAGCTTCATACAGAGACTGCACATACCATGTGAGATGCAATAAGGCTGCACTACTCACTGCCCCTAGAACTTGCTGAGACACTCTTGCCCTAGCCCACATCTCCCAAATGCAGGAGGAGCAGTCTACATGCACTAGATTTACTACAGTACCTTCAAGAGCCAAAGCAATGAGAAGAGGCCTTTTGGTGCCCTCTACCACAGGCTACTACAGGAAATGAGGGAGAAACGGGCAGTCCTCAAACTGCATTTCCTCAAAAGCTGGAGAGCTATGCAGAGCTCCCAACAGCCCTGCCCAGCAGCTGCAGACAGCCCTCTCTTATCTCTACACCAGGGCACCCTGCACAGGCATCCTAGTGTACAGCAAGCGCCTTTGCTCCTCTCCCTGCTGCTGCAGAAGATACCCCTGGGTTCAAAGTCCCTGGTGCAGCACATCAGGTGCCAGAGGGCATAGCCACCCTCACACAAATTTTGCTACTGCTCTTGGGCCACTCACTGCCAAGAACCATTGTGAAGAGCTGCAGACAGGCTCAGCAAACACCTGCCTCTCCCCTGGGAGCTGTTTTATGCTGGACCCTTGGCTGTGACCGAATTTGAACCACGCTGTGTTGCCTGGCTGCATAACCATACTGGTTTGGAACCTGAGTGACCTGTTTGAGGATGACTTTCTGGCTTGATCTTGGATCAGCCTTGTCACCGTGGACTTGGCTGGGAAATCCTGGCTGGCCCTGGTCCCTACTGCTGGACCGGCCCTGCTGGTCTCACTCCTATAGTCTAGGGCTGCAGCCTTGCACATGAAACCACTGCCTCTGCCTGTGCCCTTCCAGCACACTTGGCTCCCAGCTCATCTTCCTGTAGGCAGCAGCCTGTCCTTTCTTTGTCGTGACAAGAGAGTACAGTGCAGTGAGGCAGCAGAGCTTGGTTTGCGAGCTGCTTTTAACCACAAGCTAAAGAGTATGAAGTTGTATGCAGTACAAGCAAAGCCAGAAGCACCTGTGTGCAGTTCCAGCCTCTGCTAGCCACTATTATGGGCTGGGGGAAGGCATGGTGAACCAATATATCTGTAAAGTTCTGCATCTACATAGGGAAGGGCAGTGTGGTGGTTGTATGGTTTACCTGTGTCTTTGTTCATAATGGTGTTGTAATAAGCAAAAAAAGCTCTGAATTCAGGAGGTCGATGAGACATGGCTTTGAACACATTGGGCAGAAATCCAGTCTGTTCAAGGAAAAACAAGTCAAGAACTGCAACTTAACACAGAGCACAGAGGTGACATTGGTGCACTAGGCTTAAAGAACAATTTCTTAGCACAGCAGTGCTGGGGAATCTCTGCAGACCCATTCGCTTGCCCTTTGAGCCCATATAGATATGACTGAACATGTAATGATGTGCCTCTACTTGCTCTCCCTGCACAGATGCTGCTATGCCCATCTGACCATCCTAAACCTTCTTAACTCTCTTCTTACCTCCAAGCTTACAGGACATGGCTGGCCCTATCTGAACAGCACATTTTTTGAGGTGCCAGCATACAGTGGATATATCTGCTGGCACAACAATGCTGCCCTGCTTGTCTCCCCATTCTCTCCTGACAAGTGCCAATGCCCAGTCTACCTGATAGTGTTTGAGGCTGCCTCTCCCAGAGGCTTGCTGCCTCTCATATGAAGGATTAGCTGATGCTGCACCCACCTGTGTCTGGATCCCAGCAGCTGGCATTTATCAGCAGGGGTTCAGCCTCAGTGCCAGGCTGTCCACTGCAGTTCTACTAAACAAGCTAGATTCACTGTGATTGTGGTAACTGCCCACAGACACCATTAGCTTACTAGCTGCTGTTCTTCAGGGGTTTTACGAAAAAGGAGAGTAGCTCAGGCGTCACAGACCCCTTTGGCAACCTCCCTCCACTGCCACACAATTGCCTGTACCTTCCTCCTGTTTCACTTGTCTGCTTGTTAGTTAACCAAGGGGAAGCTCTATCCTCTTCATCCATAACATATTAGTTTGCTTAGGAACCTCTGGCAACAGAGGTAAGCTATCTGAGTCCACTAGGTCAACTGGATCCTATATGCAGGTCTTTATTGAATCCATCAGTGCACTGACACACAGAGGTTTGTGTCACACTGCGTGAACTTTGAGCTGACTCTTCCCCGGTATACCGCATTTACCCTCCAGTCTGCTGACTCCTTTCATGAAGCAGACTTTACGAGGCCACTGCAATGGTAGCAGAGCACAGATTTAACAGGCTGGCGGGAAGGATAGGGAGGGATGGACCAGCACTTCTCTGAGAAGAAGTTTTTGGGAGAGAGACGTTTTCAGACAGCTGTAGCTGGTGGAGTGTTTTAGACATCAGGAAGGACTCTGTGGCATTCCTCCTCTGCAACAGTAGGGAAGGACACTCTTATCCAAGTCCTTCTTCTTCCCTTTATACACAGTTCTGGGTTAGGCTTACTGTTCTGTTACTGTGCAGCCCATTTAGCTTTGGAGAAAAAATGTCAAGCTCAAAAGCAGAAATAGCTCCTGAGCCTTTTAATATTGTCATCAAAACAGCTTCTCCTCCATTTTTTCTCCTTTAAAAGCATTAAAAATACTCCTAATAGTGTCTCAAGTAAACACAGTTGCTCTCCCAGAAAAACAAAGTGCTTTTCAAAGTGTTCCAGCTTAACCCATGTGCAGGACCCATCTGAAACAACCCACTAGTCTCATGGAACCAGGCAGACTTACAGCAGTGTCAGCACACTGCATGATTTCCAGTAAAATCTATAACCTGTACACTGTAAGGAGCTTTGCAAGAAGTGCTCCTCACTTCAGCTTCCTGTCAGGTTTCTGGACTAGAGTGGATAAGAACTTCTCTTTTAGCATTTATAACCTACCCAGGTTTTGTACCCTTCCCACTGACAGAATCTTGCAACTCTTTTACCTTCCTTTCTACTTCCTCCATGAGCTCCATGATGTCGTATGGCATGTCTTTCTTGCTGGGTACTGGGTACTGCCCAACAGACCTTGCAGTGTTCTCTTCCTTGGTGCTGTATGCCACCAAGGGCTGCCTCTGGAGTCCCCCTGAAGCTAGAAGAGGCACCAACTGGGGAGAAAGGAGGCAGGAAAGTTTATTTGGAGGACCACTTACCATCTTGGCAGCCTAAGGAGAGAGGACTTTTCCTCAGCTACTGGCAGGAGTGAGGGACACCTCTGTAAGCCATTTGGTACTCCATGACCAAAGGAATCTGTGCTCTGGAAGACAGAAACCCAAGTCCTATTCCTGGCTGTAGCCCTAAGCTGCTGTGTGGGCATCCAGCAAGCATTCTTTGCCCCCCTCTTATGCACCATCTTAGCTGCAGGCTACAGACGAAACAATGAAAGGGTAGGAGACCATAGAAGCCGATGACCCCTTCCCGCTCCACCATTCCTTCCGCGAACAGGCCCCGGGCGGCCCGGAGGGCGGCTCCTCCAGAAGGTGCCTCCCTACCGTTCCCCAGGGACCACCGGTCGAGCCCCTACTCACGGGCGGGCGGCCGAGGCGCAACCGCACGCCCCGCAGGAAGGAGCCACTCACTGCCAGACCTCTCCACGCGGGCCACGGAACAGAAGTGCCTGAGCAACCCCTGACCTAACCCGCCTTCCCTCGGCAGGGCCCGCCCCACGCCTCGCCCCGCCTCGCCTCGCAAAGGGGAGGGCCCGGTTAGCCGACCGGCAGCGAGTCGCGGACGCTGAGTGCTTGTCGCGGTTTATTCTGTCAGCTCACTAGCTCCCGCGGCGCCACGGGGATACACTCCTCGATCCCCGTGCCTCCCGTGGAAGGTCCCACCCCGGGAAGGGAAAGTGGCGCCGATGTCCGGCGGCGGCTTAGATGACGGCTGTCTGTCGGTGGAGCCTGAGGAGGAGGCGGTGGTAGCCTGCGAGGCTCTCCGTCTGCTGCGGATCGAGCCCTCGGCCGTCAGCCCCGGCGCGGGGCGGGCGGGCAGCGCGGCGCGGTGTTCGGTAGGTGCCGCGGGCGGGGCGAGGGGTGGCAGGGCTTAGCTCCGCCGTGACGCCGGTCCCACGGCCTCCTCGTCGGGAGGAGGCCGCAGGGCTGAGGGCCCGCTGCTCCCACAGAGAAATGTGATGCGGAAGCGGAGGCGCTGGGAGCGGGTGTTGGCGGCCAAGAAGAGCAAGAGGCCGCAAGAGCGGGAGAGGAGCAGGGCCCAGCAGGCTGGTGGCGCAGGTGAGAGGCGCTACGACACGGCGCGGCATGGCATGGCGTGGCACGGCACAGCACTGTACAGAGTGGCCCCGTCGAGGGGCTCCTGGCCGAGGGAACGGAGTCCGCCCGTGGCTCTGCTGCCCTGCCGGGGCTCAGGCTGCCCTCTCGCTGTTCTGCCTCCCAGGAGCTGCCAGTCGGGACTGCGGGAAGGCCCCGGCCGCCCTCGCGAAGGAGCGCCTTCTGCAGGCCAAGACGTCGGGGCCCCGGCTCTGCGTGGACCTCGGGGTGGCCGACTGCATGACTGAGAAGGTACGGGGCACCCTGCCTACTGTGTCCTCTGCACCAGTGCTTCAGCGTAGCTAGAGCTGAAGCTCAACTAGAAGGGTCCACGCAGCAGCTCACCTGAGCTCAGCCTCTAGGGGGATGCTGTCCCCTCGCATCCCCGCCTGTCCTTACGCCCCCTAGCCTGCACGCAGCTTCCTGACTGGCTGCACACCCAACTCTGGGTTTCCTTCAGGCAGTTGAGCTGTGCTCCACAGGAACAGCCTTTCCAGAGCCTCAGCGAGCAGCCGGTGACTCGGGCATCATGAATGTCTGCAGGCCCTGAGTGTAACCCCCTGCCCCTTGACTTGTGGGTCACTGTGCTTGTTATTTATTGGAAGGAAACAAGCCGCCTCGCCTCCCAGATCAGGAGACTCTATGGGGCCAACAGGCGGGCTGAGAAGCCATTTTGGCTCTGTCTGACGGAGTTTGTTGTGGGCTCGTTGATCTATGAGGAGTGTTTTCGCATGAACGACGGCTTCTCCAATTATTTGGTAAGGGTCTCTGATGACAGTGCATTCAAGGCTTGTAGCACCCTGCAGCTGCTGCTGGCCTTCAGTGTTGACCCATGACAGGCTGAGGTGCGCTCAGATGAGAGCTGGGAGTTATGTGGGAATTCAGTTTAGTGGCGGTGGTTAAGTTCAGATCTTCTTACCCTTTGACAGGAGATGAAGACTGACAGATAATGGGGCAATGTACGAATGCTTCAGGTTAGAGCTCCTGTCCTTCCTGCTTGCAGGAGAATTCCTTCTCCAGATGCTACTTCTGTAAAAAGACCTGTGATACTGTGGACAGGCAGCTGTATAAGTTTGGTCAGGGTTTGGGCAAGTCACACATTCATGTCCTGAGTTTTTACATTGAGCTTGGTCTGACTCAAGCACAGGATGCACACATGGCAGTGACATTAAACCCTACAGCACATGTGGGGTCTGCACATGGTAATAGTGAGGGGACAAACCAAGGTGGAGATTCCTGAATCTCTGAAGAATTACAATCTCATTTAAAATTAGGTGATTTTTTTCCTTTCCTTAAAGAACAGTGATTTTGATTAGAAAAGAATTTAAGGGGATTTTGAAATATGTATTGTTCAATGCTCATATGGAAACATTTTCCAGTTAAGACAAAACCCACTATCTGCAGGAGTGTAAACACCTAAGGCAGTATCGTCCATATAGTTCTGTGTCTGAGAGTGGATTTTGCTCTGGCAAATGGACTTTGGCCTCATGGGCTTCTTCTCTCCATGTCTTGCATTTTTCAGATGGATACAACTCAAGAAAGTTACTTGGACCTGTTTCCTGTAGATTCAATTGTTTATCTCACTCCTGACTCTGAGAATGGTAAATATTTCACATACTTTAGGCACAGGGAAGCGAGGGCAAATGGGTGTTTTTTATGCTTTTCTTTTCCAGACTATTTAATACTTCACGTGATTCAATTCCAGGTATTTGCTATCTCAAATGGTATGAGATGTACTGTGTATTTAGATCTGATGCTAAATCTATTCCTATCTCAATCTGTTTTTATGAAATGAGGTTTCAACTTGGGGCTGTGGGTGATCTGCAGCAGACTTAACAAAAACTTGCGTGTACATCCTCTGCAGCTTGTAATACTAGGAAGTGGTAGAGATGCTGTGGCAGTTTTGGCTACAGTCTAAATGACATCTTTCTCTGAAATGCAGCAGCTACAATGTTCTCTTTATTGCTTAATTTGCTACTATCTTTATTTTATCCTCTTCCTTTATTTCCAACCTGCCACATGTTGCTGAGGGCACAGATCTCTTGTCTTGTTTTACAAAAATGCCTTACTCTGCTAAATAATCTGGTATGGGTGGGCGAAGGTTTTAGTAGGGAACCCTGGTAGTGGGAACACGGGAGCAGATTGGGATCAGATTGACCAGATTAGCCACATCTCACAACGGACAGTGGTTAAAGGGAGCAATGTATGGTATCTCTGGTGCTCTGTCCTTTCAGCCTGAAAAGGCTGAGAAAAGCGTTTCTCCCTTTCATGCTGCCTGCAGGTTCAGGCAGACACGTCTGTCTCTGAAGTCTCAGCCTCCTGCATGGTCTGAGGCTCCAGGGTAAAGTGTGACTCTGGCCACAGTTTCTTATGGAAGTGGGCTCTTGCTTGGAAAATGGTGTAGCGCAGGATTTTACTGTTGTATGGTGGTGAGCAAGTGCTTATCTTGTTTCTAGTCCTTGAAGATATTGATCCAAATAAAGTATACATCCTTGGAGGTCTGGTGGATGAAAGTATTCACAAGGTGGGTAGCAGGCTGTTGGAACCTGAAGGTGCTGTCTCCCCCATTATCTCCTGAGAACAGAGACATCCCACTTCTAGTACCCAGTGTTCCTGCTGCCTTGATTTGAGACATCACTGTTGTGCCACCATACATTTTTCCCCAAGGTTCTGCCTGGATCCAGCACCAGGCTGAGAGACTGTGGCAGTCTGGGTGAAATATACCCCAGGACAGCTTTTAGCTTTGTAGCAGCTTGCACCTGAAACATTGTGCATGCTGTGCATATGCAAGTTTGTGCATGTGGGGCACCTTGTTATTGTTTCCTTTGCAGAAGCTGACTCTGCAAAGGGCACGAGAGCAGTCCTTGCAAACAGCCCGTCTCCCCATTCGCGAGTACATGGTGAAAGCTGTTAACACCAAGAACTACCACTCAGAGACACTGGCAATTAATCAAGGTGAGAGGCTGAGCCATGTCCTATCACTTGCCTGGGCAGGGGGAGAGGGCTATCAAGCACTGAAGCCAAATATTTTCAGAATTATTCTCCATTGCTGAGTAATGGGGGAAGCACTGGGAGCAGGGGTTTTTCTTAATATTTATTCCTGATACCCCCTTTTTAAAGGTCTTGTGTGCTTCTCTGCATCAGCACATTCTCAGGGACACAGGATTGCTTTGCACAAAGCAGTGAACATTTAGTGTGAGGGAGATGTGAGGAAGCTGCTGTTGCTATGAGTCATACAAGGTCCCAGGCTAGGGAGAACAGAAATTGTCTTGCCTGTGTCAGACTCAGTCAAGGCAAGGCTCACAACACCAGGATGTTGTGATGTGCTCTACCACTGTGATGGCTTCATGTCATGATTATGGGTTGGGCCACCCAGTCACACCAGTGGATGTGTCCATGCTCCTCTACCTCCACCAGTGGTCTGTGGCTTTTTAATGTGAACATCTCTCTGCTATAGATTATGGAGCAGAGAGGTGTCCTAGGCCAGCTCTAGTAAATTCTTACCTCTGGCATGAGTATATCATTGCCATCTCCATCAGCACAAGGCAGAGGAGGTGGTGGAGGGCCCTGCAAAGCACAAGCATAGCTGCTAGAGACCACTGTGTGGAGATGTGGAAACACAGCATCTGAGAAACAGTGGTGGACGTGCAGTAGGTATAACCCACCATCGTGGTCAGTGGCACAGATGGGTAGTACAGGTTAGTCAAATGGTGACTGGGGAACCTTGCTTTAGTTGACACAGCCTCTGTTTTGGCTACCCAGAGCTCCCCAGAGTAATCTTCAAACTGGTTTCATGTGCTGTTTTGAAGCTGCCTCAAACACTTGCGCGTCAGATTTTAAATGAGAGGAAGGCAAACCACTAGATCCCATGCTAACCTTCTCTGTTATCAGCTATTGTAACTTCCTGATGCTTTGCAGCCAATGGGGTGTATATTAATAGAGCTTGCTGTTGATACTGTTATCACATCTCTTCTTGACAGTCTTTGATATCTTGTCAACTTACTATGAGACTCGAAGCTGGCCAGCAGCCTTGAAAGCTGGAGTTTCTTCTGGAAAAGGCTATGTGCTGCCAGAGGCCGTGAAATAAGTGAAAACACCTCAGCATGATAATGCACAAGAAAATTCTTTATTTTGTAATGTTAAAGAGCTGTGCAGACAAGAGAGACAAACTCCGTATTTTGAGCAGAGGCACCAGCATGAATATGCATAGAGAGGATAGCTCTGCTTAAATCTTGTTCAAGGACCCTATCAAGAGTGATGCATTTCGACTCAGCAGTACAATGCTGGAAAATACTTTTTCCTCTCAAACAGAAAACATAAGCAGCCCTGGGATCAAGTGAAAACTGACAGGAATTCAGTTCTACTTCTTTACAGATGCTTGTTAATGTTTCTGACTCTTGCATCTACACTTGTTCTGGGGCAGCAAGGAGTGCTTTAATGTATTTCTTTCATCTTGCTAAAACAGTAAGTAAGGTGAAGTTAAAATTGCAAAGCTCCCTGGTGAGGAAAATTTCTTCCCATGGAAAAGGACAATACTATTCCAATTGGGGAGCACAAGATGGGATTCCCAGATGGAGAAACAGTTTCCAGGTGCACTATGTCCTAACAACTTTAAATCAGTTGAAGACTCGGGGAGTTGTTGAAGCCTATAGCTAATCCTGTGCTTCTATTTTAAAAACCTAAAATAAAATGTTTACTCTTAAACTTCCATCGCATCCTTATAGTTACTTATGCATGGTACATTATCACACGCTGACATGCAAAGTTCACTAACCCTGAAGTTCCTCCTGGAAGGGTATCTGGGATCTGACTCTGCCCTGCACAAAAAGAACAGATATAGTTCATAGCCACAGCAGAAAGCATCTTTGATGCATCTAAGTTGATATGTAACCTCAGCCGTTATTGCTAAAAAAATCCCCAAAACCCCAACAAACCACCAAACAGCCTCTGCGTTACTGTAAATGACTAGCTCCAGCCACCAGTGCAAGGACTTGAAGGTCTTCTGAGGTAAAATGCTATTTCATTTGCATATGTATTTTCATTTTTCTTTCATATCAAGAGCCTTTTACAACACCTGGAATTCAGTGCCATGAGGCATTATCAGTAGGGCCTGTTGCACCAGGCCTTTCTCCGCATTTTGGCTGAATTTGCGTTTGCCAGTGCCTGCAGCTCTGCTATGCCCTATGTGCCCTTCCAATGCTTAGTCTTCACATTCCCCCTCTCATTAGCTGTTGGTGTGTAGTTAGAGGTTTGCACTTCAGCTCCAGTGTAAGAGCCTTTAACTTTACAATTGAGCCCCTGAGTTTGCTATGCAGCAACATATGCTAGCCCAGACCAGGGGAGGGGGAGCGTTTGTTAGGGACTTTCTCAAGCATCAGCAAATGTAAATAGAAGAGCTGGCTGACACACAGAAACCAGATCAGAAAAGCAGGATGTGGTGTTGCCTACATTGCCTGGGACAAGCCTCTTTTCTGTGGCTCCAAGAAAAGGCAGTTAAATACAGCATGGCTTTCTTTCCAAAGAGATTTCCGTTACATCCTCAGCCACAAGTGGTGGACAAAGTATCCTGGTTTCCTTCACATGGGGCCAGGGTGGCATCTGACATAATTTTATTTTGGAAACTGCTTGGAGAGTATGGAGTGGCAAGAAAGGCAGGCTAAAAGGCTCCACAGGTGACAGAAGGCTAAGACAACACCTTGAGACCAGCCACCTGCAAGGCCTTTGGGAGGTGAGGGACAAGCCCCAGGCAAGATACATAAGCCATTGAAGTACTCTATGAATTTGTATATTACATAGATTGCGTACACAAAATTGCGCAAAGCTAGGCTGGAGGGCAGTATGCCCTGCGTCACAACCACCCTCTGCACAGGGGTGGCTCTTGGTGGAGCTAAGCTGACAACAGGGACACGTGCTTCCATGCCCATTCTGTGAACTGTGGGGCTAAACGCCCTGTAGGGGAGAACCTGATAGTGGACAGAAGGAACATGGCTGGGCTCTTGCCACCCAGTGCGCTCATGCCACCAAACATCCCCATCACAACAATGGGGGTACCCTGAACTGCTGCAGAAGACAAAACATGGAAGCTGTGAGGGCTGTGTGTTGGCGGGCAAGGAGCTTGGCACCCACATCTGGGCAGCCTTGCCTGCAAATCTGCTGGTGAACAGCCTGCACAAGTTGCTGGTAGGTTCCCACCACATCCATGAGTGCAACCCCAAGCTTCTGCTGCCTCTGCCTGCACAGCTGGCAGTGTGTCACCTGGAAGCAGGCCACTGCCAGCTGAACTAGGTGGTTGAATGTCACCCTCAGCACACCCTGCAGCTCTTTTAGGGACTGCTCTGTTTTCAGGAGCTCCTGGCAACTGGACAGCAGATCCCGGGAGACTAAGCCAAGGGTACCCTTGCTCTCAGCACCCTGCTCAGAACATTGACCTTGCAGGTGGGTTGCTTGGGTCCTGGAGAGCTTCCCCACAACCTCCTGAAGCTCTGTGGTGTAGGCCAGGAAGCAGGAAAAATCTGCAGGGCTCATCTGTGCTTGGTCCTTCAGCTTGCTGAGGGCTTGGACATAAGGGTCCCACCCTGCCATGTCCCTAGCAATGGAGACTGGGTAACTGCTCACAGGGGTCCCAGGAAGACTACAGCTGCTGTACGGTGGAGTGGTGAGGGGCCCCAGAAATGCATTGCACATGGGGATGGTAGTTTCACATTCCCCCTTGTCATCAGACCTGTGGAAGCAGCTGATATAGGACAGACGACAGCCGCACTTGTCCATCCCAAGTTGTGGTGGACATGTCTTCTTCATTGTGGAAAAACCCAAGGACCTGATCATGATGGGGTCAGAAGGACTCTGCTCATCCTCCTTGTGGTTAAAGCAGAGTAAGGAGTGCTTTGAAGCCCCATGATCTGTTTTTTTCTCAAAAAAGCCAAAGGAAACTGGGCCTGAGGAGATGGAAAGCCCTACAGATGGAGTTATAGGAGAGTCTTTTCCCATCTCAGTAGGCTGCTCTCTGGGAAGAGGAGTCTGAATAGGCTGTGGCTGTGTGAGAGCCACATTTCCTGCATCTTTTCTAGGGTCTCCATCCAGCTCCTGGCTGCTTAGCAACTCTTTCACAAACAGTGCTCCAGCTGGGAATGTTTGTATCTCCTTTCCAACAGCATCAGCCTCCAGGCACCCACTAGTCTTCTCGGAGGCCAAAAGCTCTAGTGGGATATCTACTCTTTCCTGAGATGGGCTGGGTGATGCGAGGTCTGTTCTCAGCCCACATGAGAGCCAGGAGAGGTGAGTTTCAACCCCAGAAGTGCTGCTGCAACCTGTTAAGAGCTGAGTTGCATCTGGAAAACCTATGTGATTTTTATTGTTCGCTTTCTGTAAGGCCTCCTTGTTTATCACTGGTCTGCTTTTTGCCTGTAACAAGGCACTGTCACTGCTGTTTTCAGCACAGCTGTCACAATTAGCTTTTCCTTCTTCACAAAGAGCTGGGACAGGCTCCTTACATGCTGCTTCCCTCTCAGCAGTGAGCAGCAGTTCCTGGTCGTGGTCTTTGTTCACCTCATGAGGAGAGCCCATGCTGGAGCCATGAGCTGTCAGTGTGCGTTTGTTAGCAGGGCAAGTCACTTCTTGGCTAGGGCATGGATGTGTATCACCAGCCTGCTGGGCTGCCATCACCTCACCCTTCTCCTCCTGTGCCACTTGGGCCAGCCAGCCTCTGGTGTCCATACAGCTCTCCTCACTCAGCAACCCATTATTTGTCTTCATAGAGGAACTTCCCTGAGCAGGTGACCTGACAGCGTGTAAACAAGATGTGCCCGCACGAAGGGGCACACCTTCCTCCAGGGACAGGAAAGGTGGATATACAGCATGTGTAGGTTGGAGGCTGCTGTCCACATGCATGGCAACACCCTGCAGGCAAACAGCTGAAATGGAAGAAATCAACGAGTCAGTCACTGATTTTGTTTCCATGGTATCAGGCTCCATTTCCACAAGGCCAGAGGATGGATTTGGGCTAGCACTGTTTCTCTGGGCGCGGGCTGCAGCAGGAACTCGCAGCTCTGCATTCTTGATGTTCTCTGAGGAGGGTGAAGAGGGCAGCTGAGCATGGAGTGCTGGGGTCGGTGGCCAAGAGCAGCAGCTTTGCAGAGGGCCTGGTAAAGCTAAGGGAAAAGTGACCTGTGAAGTGTAATCGGTTTTCAGGAAAGATCTCCTCTTCTTCAGGCTCTTAGCATATGTCATCTCCTTCTCCTTTCTGTGCTTCTCCTTTGCTGTCTGCCTTGTCATCAGGCTTTCTCCTAAGCTGTAACACCTTGGTTGCTTTAGCATGCAGGAGCAGTTTTCTGTACTCTCCTGGGATGTCATATTGTAGCCTGTTGGCAAGAAAAAGAACCATGCAAGTCAGAAAATAGCCCCAGGCAGCAGAATATCCATGCGTCTATGTAGTGGGCCTAAAAGTTCTTAACACATGTCCTGCAATTGCCGACATAAATGTTTGGTTGCAAAGCCTGGGTCCCAAGTGCCAAAGGAAACTGTCTCTTATGATCAAGCACCATCTTGGAATCACCTATGTCAAGGAAAATAGAATTTGTGCCTATGGCTACAAAGACTGAAGTCCAGCACTAGTGATAAAGGGTGATGGGTAGTCTCTCCCTTTGCTTATTGGAGCCACTTGATCTGACTGCAGATACATCTGTAATTTACAAGTTTAATTTGGTGGTATTAGCAGCAGCTACAGCAAGTGCTGCCTACAGCTGGAGATTTATTAACATTATCAGAAATTTCCAGCTTGGATATTTAGGTGATAAAAATTTCCAGAGATTGCAGTGTTGTGTCTGAACATGGTATTGTTACTGTGAATGAATGCAAAATGTAAAGTTGTACTAAATACACAAAACAAATGAAGAAGATCAATTAATGTTGAAAGAAATTATTATTTCAGAAACAAGAATCCTCTTCTTTCTGAGAAAATACAATGACCAGGGAGCTGCTCAGCCACAGAACTCCTTGACCCAGTTATGTAATGTGCTCCTGACCCCAAAAGATCATTATCTTGTGGGTACATGGGACAATAATGTTTTACAGCTTTTAGCTCTCCTCAGCTTGAAGGAAGGTAGGAGAGTGAAGGTGCTGCCTGCCAGTGGGAATATTTACCATAAAGCTCCCTCTTAGTGCAACACTCTTTTAATCCCTGAAGATTCAGCCTACATAGAAGGATGCACAGAACTTACTCATGCAGCATGCTGGCTTCAGAATCAAGCAGAACCATATATCAGTATTCTGGAATTCCTGCAGAAACCTGGGAACCCTCCAGAATGCCAGACTCATTTGAAAACTGACTTTTTCTGGGATCTAATGCTCGGATGTGATGAAGATTTCCCTGCAGAGTTGCAGCTCTGACCCCTATGTGCACATCAACTGTATTTCTGCTGAAGAATGGTTTATAAAGAATGGGTGTTCAAAGGTCCTTTAAAAATCCTGGGAAATCTATGAAGAGCTGAAAGATGATCTCGCTAGGAAGACTGACATGGGAAAAAGGCAACACCCTAGTCCATGGGGTGGAAGAAAGGTAGCCTGCAGCATATGGGTGAGGGTTTACCTGCCAAGGTGTCTGGAGGGCTAAGCCTGTCTGCAGCATCATAGAACTCCTCCTCAGAGCTGGTGTCACCAAAGCCTGGGGGTGGCTCCAAAATGGGGTCGCTTGCCTCTGCAGTCACCTC